ACCAAAACAGATAAAGCCTTATCAGTAGCTGTATATGGTACTTATGAGAAGTAAGTGGTTAAATGTAAAAATAGTCATAAAAATAATAGTACTCTAACAAGTATTCTGTTTACCTTTCCTGGTAGTAATATTTTTATCATGAAAGGACGGTGGACTTTTTCCCCTTTTCTAGCCAAATATGCAGAAAAAATATAGAAAATTATTCTTGAATGATTCAAAATTCCCAAGAACATGGTTTACACTGCAAGAAAGGTACTACTATGGCTATGCCTTTCCTTGGGTATGAAGTGACTATTGAACTTTAAAGTTTAGGACAGCATGGAAGGACATCATTAGAACTATGATGTCCTATTGCTATGGAAGGGTAAACCACAGAAATTTATTTTAGTTATTCTTTATGGAAGAATGATTAAACAGCAGAGCTAACTATCAAGGGAAATATTGACCCTTGCTTTTGATGTATTCAAATCAAAAGTGATCATTTCCGTCATTTATTTATTTATAGAATGCCAGTCAGCTGAAAACAAGATATGCTTTAGCTAAATTACTGATTTTAGTAGCTGAGATAACCATGTAAAAAAATTTCAGGTGTTGATGTTTGTTGTCTTTCATAGTTATCATATCTGTGAAGGATGAAGAAATACTTGGTTCAGTATTTTCAGTATACCTTCATATGTGTTATTTATTAAATCCGCATATTTTGTTCAGTATCAGGAGCATCTTAAAAATGATTTAAACAGATTTACTGACATCTCTCTCTCTCCTTTTCTTTTTTATTTTATTTTTCTTTTATTATTTTTTTCTCCCCATAGCACAACTGTTTTAATGTAGTGTTTTAAAGCAGTTATAGATAAACAACTGAAAAGAGTTCTGTGACACACCTTAGGTAGGTGGATTGTCCTACAGTTTATATATACAATGGAAGTACATGATGTATCAATTTCTTCTCACCTTGCTAATACTAGCATTTCAAGATTAATTAATACACCTAATTTTAACACAAGTGTTTTACAGTTGTACATATGGAGCCATAAGCTTACTTTTTACAGCGGCTATATTTGGTATCAATTGATGTCATAGATGCTAATAAAAATGCTGTTCTACTCAGGCAAATGACCAAATATTGCCTGTAGGGCACTACAAAAGCCCTAGTAGGGCACTACAAAAGGACATGGACTTGTGTTATTTCCATTAGCTTTAGATCAGCATGGAAATCTATGAAATGACATGAGAAGTAATCAAGCTAAACAAGACCTTGCACTTAGTGCTTTCACACTGGATTTAACAGTATTTTTATAAGGACTGTTATTTATAACTACTAAGGCAATATTGCCTGAGGCATTTAAAATTTTCAGTTTGGAAGAAATCACAAGTTAACACAGCATAAAATAAAAGGAAAACAAATAGTTCTCTTCACCTTACCCCCACTCCTTCAATTCTACAGTTCTGCACAAATTGTCTAACCAACAATGCATCATTTGTCCTTCATATGAGTTTAAGAAACAAACAATTGAAAACAAACTCATCAATTAGGGTTTCAGAGAACAGTTCAATGTCCTCCTGCAGTTTGACAAAGTGAGGGACCTACTTTCAATTTTCACTTATCTGAGGAGCTTTTATTCTCATGAATAATGTCAGTGAAATCAATGAATTGCAGAGCCAAATGTTGTATTGCTACAGAAATATTATATACTAAAAGGCTCAGGAAAAAGTATCTCTAACAGAGGGACTGAAACTCTGCTCTGTCACGAACCAAAGCTTTTACTTGCTGCAGAACACATCAGCAATAAATAAGGATTGAGGATGCAATTTATCTTGGTCCCTTTCTGTCATGCATTGTTGGAGTTTTTTATTTTGTGTTGCCAGTGTTTGAAATTGTAGCAGATGATTATCATTACAGTGCATCCTAAACCATGTGTTACTGGATATCTATAAATTTCCATTCTAATTTATTCCTCTCACTGCCATTATGGTTGCAAAGATCTCTTTTGTTAATTATAGAAGCTGAATGATGTTGTTTAACATCTAGTGATGCAGAAGAAAATATGCACTTGCATGCTGCTATTATTCAAATTGAATTTTCAAGTTGAACAGTAAAAAGTCTTTAGTTCACAGCCTTTTTATAAATAAATTTAAACAAGGTGCTGAACTGTGACAAACAGAACAAAAATTGTATATGTACAGGTTGCTGAGCTTGTATTCTGAAGTGCATTGGATGTTCTGAGGCTTTATAGTGATATAATCTTACAATTAAATGGTTTACAGCATCATATAAAAAAGATTTATTTATTTAAGTCTTTGAGTATACTTCTTGATGCATTGGCCAACTCCTGATTCACTCATTAAGGTGAAGGGAGCACTCCAAGTAGATTTTCCTACCTTGCAGCAATAGTAACCTGTCTATTTTCACCAATGTTTTCCTTCCTTTTACTAATGCTGTGGATACTAGTGCTGGATAGATGAAATAACAGTGACTTTTACATGTTACCTGTTACACTTGTGATGATTTTTGACAGCCAAGCTTTAGCTGAACTGTGTGAGAAAATAACATCTTTCCTTCAAGTTTTTGTCATCTTTTGGCTACCAAGTTTTATTCTCCTTTTGACCAAATCCAGAACTTGCTCATGCTGCTTTTAAAGTTTCTATCTCATAAACTAGCAACCCCTGGACACCATCTTAATATTGTTTATGAAATCTCACTTCAAGTTTTACTCTTCTGCCTGATATCTGGGACTTTAATAATAATAATAACAATAACAATAATAACGATAATAGTGTTGAAGTTAATAGAATAGCTGAAATGGTTGTATGTATACTTTATATACAAAGCGGGCTAAGGGGATTAATATTTTCTAAGAATACCAGTTGCTCTTACACAGTCCAAACCCAGGTTTTCTTCATTTCATTCCGTATGAAAAATCAGAAGTGAATTGTCAGGTCTGGATAACAAATGCTATTTCTGATTTGATAGAATAATTTTCAGGGATTGAGTTTAAGCATTATATACAAATATTATTTAGGAAGTTAATTACGAATTTATGAAACTTTTTTTTTTCTCTATTGTTATTCTGATCAATCAGCTTCTACGGCTGAAAAATATTTTGAATGTCAATACAAACAAGTGTAGTTTGAGGTATAGAAATACTATGCACAGTTAATACATTGCTTCGTTGGTATTGTAAACCTTGATCTTGTTAATATGTAAATCTAATTTGTGACTGATTTTTTGCTACTCTGATTGGTCTACACCTTCTCTTGATAATTTCTCTGCACTTGGAGGACAAGACTGGAGAGGTGGCAGATGTATGCAAGGGTACTAGTCCATATATGCATTTCTCTAGTTAATCCCAATAATGTGGTTAATCTTTCTGTCAATATTAGCAGAGGGGTAACATTTTCTTAGTTCAAAAATGACAGAAGTATTTCTAAATTTTATTTTGGTTGCCACCTAACTTTTGTGAGACCGTAATAAGATATTCCTATTGACTCTGACATTCAAAAGCCAACATGCTTTTGAGCGATGTAAACTGTTTATGAATTGAATGAACACAATTGGTATGTTTTGGTATGCTGAATTATGTTCTACTATTGCCTCCAGAACATTCATTACTGTTGTAGCTATGACCTCAAGAGATGCTCAAACCAAAATTTCCTCTTTGTGAACCAGAGTGTGTTTCTGAAAGATCAGTCTCCTTTGAAACAGTTTGTGACTCTTTTCCATAATCTGTTAGAGGTGTGATTTGTGAACCCTCTAAATATTCTGTGTGATCGAAACTCACCATCTTAGAAGTGTGATCCTAGAGGAGATAAAGGTTGTAATTACACTTTTTATCATGATTTATTTATTTATTTTTATTAATTTGGATATGCCTTGTGAAAGGTTTAAGTAATCTGGTGCTACTGATTTGCTAACTACTAATTTTAATTGTAATTTTAATTATTTAAATCATTGCTGGTATTTTTTAAATGATATTAATTTAACTTTCCTAGGTAAACTTTACTTCATCATTTAAACAAATATTAAAAAAAAAACAAACACCTCAATACCTTAAGAAAAGTGCAGGATACACATACCTTAAGGGTCTAGAGACCAAGGATAGGTTGTACATACTGAAAAATTAACATGGAAATTCCCCAGTATGTGAGTTGTGTGCAGATCTTATCAGATTCACATGTAAAGTTATGGCACAGACCCTGGAAGGTTAGCTGTGTACAGTAACAAGAAATGGACTACTGTTGTCCTCCAATCAACAACTATAGAGTAGCTGCTAGGTTGTTACTTCTTCTGAAGTAACTTATATTATGCATAAATTGTGCATGAATTATGCTGGGTAATCAGGTAGTCTTCTGACTCCAGAATCAGGTGTGAAACATTTTTCACTTTCTTCCTTTCACATTCTTCCTTTGATGTTTTCCCAGCAGATACCACTTCACAGATAGCAGCTCCTTCAAAAGAATGAAGTTGGTTAGCCTCTGTTAACTTTTTTCACTTTCTTGAGGATGCAAGCACTCCTAAACTCTCTAAAAGGAAGCCTGAACTGAATCACTCTGTCTTCCAGCTGGCAGTCCATCACGAGAAAGATTGTTCTTTGATGATGTATTTAATGTAATGCATTGTCCAACTGCTGTATCCTTAGTGACACACTGCTGTAACTTAGTGACACACTGCCATCAGATTGGCATCATACATCAAAGCCTTCCTCACTTTAGTGATGTAATGACCATCAATGCTTTTGTTTGTTTGTTTGTTTGTTTGTTTTTGTGAGTAAAAGAATAACGAGTGTTCATTATGTAGGTATATGCATCTACTATTTATGATCTGCCTACAAATGTAGATGACACAGTTATTGCATATCTAGTTTTTATTTGAAAAACAAACTGTCAATATATTCTAAAATTTACTTAAATGCACTATTCAAACTAGATTGGCATGATGATTGCAATGCCTACTCCTACTCCTTTTTTAACACAGCAGGTTTCTATTAAATCGTTTGCTGCAGAGCTGGCCTAGATGCACTGCTCTGGGCTATACCAGTCTGCCTTTTTTCAGATCCTGCATTTTCTGTTCTGTATGCTAGTGAGAAGGTCGTGCTTACCTTAAGGTGAATGTATTTTATCTTTTATACTTTCTACTGTGTTCTTATGAGAATCATAACTGGGTAATTGCTGCTCCTTAGACTTAGTGTTTCAAGAGATGTAATCACATCAAATCTGTTGAGTGATTTTGTAATTATGTTTCATTTATTGTCTTCACTAAGATGTAGTATGAATATGCATAATCTTGCTTTCCTTGATGAGCTGTTTGACCATTTATTTTATTTATTTATTTATTTATTTTGTAATCAGTTGCTAAAATGAGAAGAATTGAAAAGTGTTAAAAGACAATGGACCATACATTCTTATTCTGGACATCAGTATTCCAGTGGGGTAGTAGAGGAAAACAGGATTACAACAAGCTTGTAATGAGTAGCTGGCTGTATATTGCTGTGTAGCGAAAGAAAAAAAAAGTGAAGATGTATGATAGAGTAAAGAACTTAAAACACACACTTGATAAAGCCATCTATCATCACAGAATGCTTTCTGAAAAAATAAAATAATAATAATAAAACAAGCAAACACAACCATATGTGTTTGAGGAAAATGAGAAGAGAAGAGAACCCTGAACCCTGAACCCACCTCTGAATTTCTGTCAGAAGCTCGGGTCTGGATTTTGTAAAGCTCTTAAACTGTTTAGAGGTTACTGAATTAGACATTTTCTCTTTCTGTACTGCCAAACTTTTCAGTCTGAAGTCTATCAGTAGAAATAACAGTTGAGAAGATATTTTCTGGAAGTGTTTCTACTGGGTTAGCATACTTCTGCTGACCTGTTTCCATGGGGAATCTGAAACAGAACAAATGAGGTACTAGAATCACAGAATTGAAGGAGCTTCACAACTTGGAAGGAGCCCACAAGGATCATCGAGACCAACTCTTGGCTCCACACAGGACCCAAAAATCAGACCACGTGTCTGAGAACATTGAACCAAGGGACGTTGGTTGCTTCTCATATGTCTTGCCCTCTAGACCCTACTTTGTAGCCCTCCATTTCTAATAGTTTTATGTCCTTACTCTGTGGCACCCAGAACTTGACACAGTACTCGAGATGAGGCTGCACCAGCACAGAGCAGAGCAGGACAATCCTTTCCCTCAACCAGCTGGCAGTGCCATCCATGCCTGATGCACCCCAGGCTATGGTCGGTCCTCCTGACTGACAGGGCACACTGCTGGCTCACGTTCAACTGCTGTCGAACAAAATCCCCATAACCGTTTCTGCAGGGTTACTCTCCAGCCTCTCATTCCTCAGTCTGTACGTATAGCCAAGGTTGCCCCTTCCCAGGTGCAGAACTTGCTCTTGTTGAACAACTTGGTCTTGTTCAAATTGTTGGTGATTGTCCAGCCCTCTAATTTGTCAAGATCTCTCTGCAAGGCCTCTCTACCCTTGAGGGAGTCAACTGCTCCTCCTAATTTAGTATCAGATGAAAACTTAGTATACCTTCAAGTCCTGCTTCCAAGATTAGTATTTTAAGAATATGTTAGTAAAGAAAGGGTAGGCTTAAGTTGCGTGACTTAATGATTTTGGATTTAATATTCAGTGTGCTGCAGCCTAATAGTACTTATTAATAAATCAAATTCATATAGATGGTGCTTCGAACACCCTCTATAACATATATAGAAATCTGTGTGGAAGTAATCAAATATAAAATTCTAGCTTGCATGTGGAAACACGGAGATGTTCCCTGTTTAGTGCTTATGCAAGACAATATTCTTTGTGAACCAAGATTCTCTTGATAATTTTTTCTAACTGGGATGATGACTCTCTTGTTTTGTTTCAGATTTGTGAAATAGTACTTGCTGTTATTTATGAAAGAGCATATTTAATTTCTTCATGCTTTTAAGGCATTTTTTTCCCTTCTGAATTTATATCTGAAATAACTAGCTTGAACTCAGACTATTTCTATGAGATCTAAAGGAGCTCTTAATTTAAGGGAATTTAAAATGATGTACAAATTCTTTTACCAAGGAGTTTAAAGTATTAACAGGATTAAAATTATCAAGGATGCTTACAACATGCTGCCAGTCCCCAAAACCTCACTATAAGTCATTGGTGATCTATGTAAAATGATCATTAAATGAATCATGGAAAGATACTTTTTTGTTTGTTTGTTTGTTTATTTATTTGTTTTGTGATCTGTTTGCATGAAAAAAAAAAAGAAAAAAGAGGGAAATAAAAAGACGGAGAGACTCAGACAGTAGTAGCACCTATAGTACTTTTAATTGGCATTAAACTCATTTGGGTTAGAACCATTATTTTACTTGCAGAAATGTCTTATACTTGCATTCCTTATCTCTTCACTCAGTAACTGAGATTGTGACTTGTATTCAATTAAACTTGGTCTTTAATACCTGAAGATGTTAGATCTTTTTTGGAATTACTGTACTGGATGGCATCAGAACAATTTTCTGTAACTTACGTACGTTAACAGGAAGAGAAGGGGAAATGGATTCTTGTGGTGATTATCTGCTTACTTTGTTTTTTGCTCTCTGAAGATCATGTTACATTTCTTGTATTTCACTTTTAATTTTCCTGGTCAATGTGGAGTACAAGAATTAATTTAATTTATTTTTTCTTCTATACCTTGTTCCTATTTATATATTTCTATTGTCATCTCTTTATGGTTCAGCTAGCTTCCCTCATTGATCCCTTCCACTCTGTGTATTTAAATAATCTTCTGTTGTTTCCATTCACTTCCAGAACAAACTCACTGATGATTTTACTTTCCTACTGAGATTTTAGAGCATTTGTTTGGCTTCATCCTTGTCTCTTTAAAATTGTATATATTCTTTTCTGTCATATACCATCTTCTCTGTAACCAAAATAAGCTGTGCCCCAGTAGGACTTCAGTAATTACAACATCTGATTTATCATAAATACTTTATCACTTTTAAATAGTGCATCCAACAGAGCATGTATTATCTACTAATTCCCCTATTTTTCTTTAAAATCCATGTTAGTCATTTAATTATCTCAGTCTGCTCTTTTCAATAATGTCAATGCCTTTCCCATATTTCTTCTCTTAAATATGAGTATTATTATTATTATTTCTGAAATAATAGATGTATTCATTCATCTATACAACTTAGTACTGTTTCTGAGTTCCACTTGCTGGAAAATTAAAGATAGTTAATGGACAATGTAAAAACATCAAGCTCAAGTACTGCTACAATAAAGGTCATATTGTGAAACAGTTATCTGCAAGCCAGTGAGCTATTTAAATCATATTTAATGGTAACTAATTAGATCACATGGAAAATAGTCAAGGTATCACATACAGCTTCTGAGAGCTGTTCAGTTTTAACCTTGAACTCTAAGACAGGAAAACAAATAATTACTCTGCTTGATGTCAGTATTGCAAAGGCAAAAATATTGAGAGAAAACTTCAAGACAATTTCTTCATTATCTAGGTGAGTAAGGATGATAATACTTGAAAATTTAATAGGTTCACTTTGTCTAAATAAGGAAAATGTCAAATATTCACTCCTCAGGAGTTAGTTTTTTATCTGGACTTTTCTTGAAATGTACAATTGGTGGGCAGGATAATGTTACACTCAGTTCTTGCAGTAGATTTAGTGTTCCTCACTCAGGTTGAACAGTGAACATAAGGACTGGAAAAAATGGTTCAAAACAAAATCTTTAGAGACAAGATCTGTTTCCAGTGGACGCCATGGGCAGCAGGGGGGTGCCTCTCCTCCTCTCTCCTCCTCTTCCCTCCCTTCCCCTCTATTCCATGCTTTCTGGTTTTGAAGGTTAGCACAACTGGTCTTTGCTCCAAAAATTTGCTGAATATATGATTGTGCTGAGTTTTTTTAAATAGATCCCACACATTACACAGATCTAATTCAAGATTCACTCACATTAGTAACATTTACAAATTTTATCTCTGCATGATGGTGTCCTAATGTGATTTTTGTTCAGATTTAAGGACAGTGAAAGTTACCCAGAAGAATCTATTTGCCTCCATTTTTGGTTAAAGCCTTATGCAACAGGTGAACCATGCATAGCAATCTTGTATGTCAAATTGCTGCAGAATTGGAGCCAGAGGAGAAAAATGATACATTTACATTTAGAATGGAAAAAAAATATTTTAAAAACTATGCAAACACTTAAATGATTATAAGGTGCAACAATTGAAATAGAATAAAACATAGGCTTCTGCTTTTCCTTTGTGAACACTATTATAGTAATTGCTTTATAGGATTACATTAATGTATATAACTACATCAAGGCATCTTTTGATGGAGTTGAAGGCAACTACATTTGGAATATATTTGGAATTCTGGAAATTACAATACATGGTCACATTTGTGAATAAGGAAAGACGTACTTTCTTGTTGCAGTGTTATTGTCTCATCAAAAATCCTTGTTAGAAACATCATGTCGGTCCTTCCTGTGTATTGTCCCAGATTGCATTTGAAAGACAACAGAAAAAATCCTAGTATCTAAACTTATATATGAAAATGCTTATAACTTTATTATTGCAGTCATCCACAGTTTTATTAGTTTTTAGTTGTCCCTTTCCTTCCGACTCAACATTATCAATCCCAGTTGGCAGGATTTTTCATCAATCAATCTTCAATGGGCAGCCAGGGTACTTTCAACAGCTCTTGCCATTTTTTTTCCTAATAATTGGAAAAGCTTGTTGTTTTTTGGCAAAAGGCTGATGAAGAGGCATGTATCCTCTCCTTCTGCTTCTGTTGCAAATGTTATGCACAAGTGATCAAATTAATAAGATTTGTTTGCAACATTAACTAATTCATAAAACCAAAGAAAAAATACTTTCAAATATCACTTATGCCAAGAAATTGTATCCACTTATAGTACATATCTTTGAGATCTTTAATATTTCAAAAGACATGACAAATCTCCAAATCCTATTAAATGTATACCAAGTGACTAACATTTGTGCTAATTAAATGGACATAATATACTCCTTGGTAGCATAGTCGTTAAAATAATACAGTTTCTGTTGGCCTGTTCTCCCAATATTACTCAATTGAAGACAATTCAATATTCGTAAGGAAATTCTAGTCCATTAAACTACACAGTTGTAGAAATCCTCTCCTAATGAGGACGTGTAGACCAGTATGTGTTCCTGATATATGTGTACATTCCCATCACCATAGACTTTCGTCAACAGTATGGCTGTGTAATATATCAGCAAATATGCTTAAATGTGTGTATTTTCTTGGGAAACAAGAACACCTCTGCCATGTTTGTATCTTTATTTTCCTATCAACAATAGGTGAGTGAATAGAATTCATAAGGACTCTCTTTGAAAGCATACAATCACAGAATATCCTGAGTTGAAAGGGACCTGCAGGGTTCATTGAATCCAGCTCCTGACTTTCCACAAGACCACCCAAAAATCAGGCCTTGTGTCTGACAGCAGTGTCCAAACACTTGACCTCTGGCAGGCTTGGTGCTGTGACCACTGCCCTGGGGAGCCTGTCCCAGTGCCCAAGCACCCTCTGGGTGCAGACCCTTTCCCTAACCCCTAGCCTGACCCTCCCCTGTCCCAGCTCCATGCCATTCCCTCGGGTCCTGTCGCTGTCCCCAGAGAGCAGAGCTCAGCGCCTGCCCCTCCGCTCCCCTCCTGAGGGAGCTGCAGGCTGCCATGAGGCCTCCCCTCAGTCTGCTCTGCTCTGGGCTGAACAAACCAAGGGACCTCACCTGCTCTTCATATGTCTTGCCTTCTAGACCCATATGACTACTATAAAAGTTTTATCTCCTTATATTGTGTTGCCCCAAACTGCATGCAGCATTCAAGGTAGGCTGCGTGAACACAAAGTAACACAGGAAAATCCCTGCCCTTGACCAGCTGGCAATACTGTGCCTGAGGCACCCCAGGACAAGTACTGTAATCAAGGTTTTTTATGCAAATGTTGATGCACATTCATCCTGTATGTAGATCCTTCTCAGTCAGATCCTTCTCATCATCCAACTGACAGAACAGAGCACCATAAGGCAGTGGATTTACACTTCTGATTAGTATGTGTAAATTAAGTGCAGACTACTATAAAGTATCTTTATTCTTTAAAGCTAGAGCTGCAAGGCAGGTGTGTTCAGTTTCTAAAAGAAAAATTTACTTCCAGTGCCATTCTCTCTTCCGAATTTACTCTGCACGTAATCTACTGTCTGGCAATGCCCTTTTCAATATCTGCTGCAGTTTAAAACATGGCCAGCATTACTGATTATCCAAAACTGAGTTCAGAATGGCCTTTCTAATGACATTTCAAATTTCAAGAAACTTCAACAAACTTTGGCTTTTAACAACTGCAGTTGGAGACTCATCAAGCTAGCGTTGAAGGCAAACTATATATTGAATTGCACCAGTGATAAGCCTGTTGATTTTGTGGCAGAACCGGCTCAGGTACATGCCAATTTTGGGAAAATTATTATTATTATTTTAAATATATCCCTTCTATCAGTATTCTGTATGCTGGGTTTTATGATGGCTTCCAGTATACACATAAAAGTTTTATCTGCAACAAACTCCCATGCTATAATCTGCTACCTCCATTTTCTGCTTCTGTTCTGCCAGCATCACCGTATGTGTTCGAACAGTTAAAGCTGTTTGGAATTCTTTGAAAGAGAAAATGAAACAAATGATATTTTCTGTTTCTAGTAATGAGATGAGCTCTGGAAAAATGAATTGGAAAGGGAATCAAAACAACACTGGGATGTAAAGCAATTCTTACAACTGATAGCAAAGGAAAGCACTGTAGCCTGATTCAACCTTCTTTGATGTGTCTGGTCATCAGCACTTATTAGCAGCTCAACTTCTGTAATCTTCCAGTTGCTTTATTCACCTGAAAACTATGCAAGTTGCAGAACAACATTGATGGATTAAAATCTTCCCACTGGGATTTCTTTGCTTGATTCTTTAGAAGGAGAACTTTCCACAAACATTATGTCAGGAATAAATATATGAAAGAGGCTTCATACGATTGATATTTTTAATGAAATAAAGTAATCTTAATTATCTCAATGGTTTTGCAAAGTGATGATGAGGTTTCCTACAGAACTAAAAATAAAATGACAGTTGGGGTGGAGGAGAAAGAAAGGAGACAGAATTTGAAAATCCCTGACCCACCCAATTTCTAATTGCTTTTCAGGCACAGTTTGTGATCCTTTCAAATGGTCTAAATTAATCACCATTGCAAAAGTTAGAACAGGGATCACTCAACACTCCAAAGGAAATCTTAAGAAAAAAAAATAATTAGCATGTTAAACCTGGCTGCTAGGTAACGTGATGTTACTGAATACCTCTGGGGATACAGAACCCTATATGTAATTCAGGGCACTGTGAAAAAAGGGAGAGAGGGAAAAAGAAGTTAACAGCTGACAAAAACTGCAGCAAATTGATTGAGGACATTTAACCTTTTATGCTTATTTATTTTATTCTTTTTTCAAAAAAGACCGTTTTCTTAGTTGTAATAGAAGTTTGTTGGAATAGAAATCACAAACAAAAAAACAAACAAACCAAAAAACAACCAACCAACCAAAAAAAAAAAAAAAAAAAAGAGAAAAAGGAAAAAAAAAAAAAAAGGAAAAGCCCCAGTAAGCTGGATTTCATTTTAGTTGAAATGGTCTTTCTTTCCTAGCTACAGTCTGGTGGAATGTGAATTTCGTTTGACAGCAAAGAAGAAGAGAAGAAAGGCACTGAATTTATTTTTTATTCTAAGGTTTAACTAATTTGTTCATAACTGACTTTTATTGACTTTTATGAGTTTAGGAGAAGACTTAATGTAGTGTGTTCTTTCCTTTTAGGAATATGTCTTCTGTAGGAACACAACAGTTCACTGATATTTGTTTCTGTTTTCTTTGCCTCTCACAAAGGGATGCAAAAGGGCCTTTTTTTTTCTTTTTCTTTTTTTTTTCATTTATTCTAATTTACTAAGATATAAAATTTACTAAGATAAAAATATGTAAATTACAGTATAAAATACTTTTTTGTTGTTGTTGTTGTACTACAGTCTGCCACCCTGCAGTTAGCTGTACTGTTAGCAAAGCAGAAGTTACTAATGTTATTTATTAAGCACATTTGTTTGTGGATACAAAAAGGGAGAGAAATAAGCTTGTTTGTTTGTTTGTTTTTGTTGTTTTTTGTAAGCAAAATTGAATTTCAAATTTTAGACATCTGGTAGATCATATATTATGCCAGTGTAATTTTCTGAAATGGAACATTTTTTTTTTTCTCTTTGTAACTTCATTGTCAAATTCAGAACTGTTCCTGAATTCCTGCAAATATAAACTCTGCTGTTGTAATCTATCATCTTTCAGCTGGAGCTTCTAAAAGTCCCTCTCCCTCTTGTGCTTTTTAAAATCCATTCAGTTATTTATCTTGTCAATGACTTTCTCGGTGGTAGTCTGGGCATGCTCAGTGGCTTCTTAGGTGTATTTTACTCATTTGTATTATAGTCCATTGAGTTACTATTTCAGACAAGTGGAAGTTGTTCCTATGAATCTTTCTTTTTTTTTTTTTTTTTTTTTTTTTTTTTCCCTGCATGGGAGAGATGATTATCATTCTATTATAATTACTGAAATTTCTTCCTGCAGAAAAAAAGACTTGATCTATTTAAAAGAAAACCACAGGTGCAAAGCTACTACAAGGATACAAGTAGATACTATTATTATTACAAAATTATAATCCTGATCCTAAGACTTAAGGGAATGTCTTTACCTTTTGCAGGGCTTAGTATCAAGCCTTCCAGGAGGTTGCTTCTCTGTAGACTGCTAAGAACTTCACAAGAAAGGGCTGTAGCCTGTGGTACATTACTTTCTGAAAGTGCAAAATAAAGCAGGATCTCATTCACTAATGCAAAATAACTAGCACTTGCACTTTCTTGACTTTCATGTACTGACCTCTAAAGTAGTGTCCTAGATGTCAGAAGAGCCATGCACAGAGATTTATTTCTATAAGAATTGATGACTTAATATTTTACCAAGAAAACATTCACTCTAAAACAATATTATAGTATATGTGTAACAACAGATGTTTAACGGATCTTTTATTTACATCCTGTCCAAAAAGGCAAAAGACTATAGAAAAAATGTTTTTATTTTTTTTTATGAAAATTGTTGATTGTCTTACTTGTCTACAGAAAACATCAAGGATCAAATGTCCACTTTTTAAAAAGACTGTTATGAATTTGTAAGAGTTTTTCCATTTTTATCATATTTTAGATATTTTTTTTGTCTCATCTGAATTAACTTTAATGGTGATAAAGAAAACAATCTTTGATATTTAAAAACAATCATATTTTCCTTGTTCAAAATCCAGAGACTCATCAACTTAAGAAAAAAGATGGAATAAACCAAATATAAGTACATTTTTATACCAAAAAAAAAAACCACCCTTGAAGACAAAATATTCATAAAGTTAAGAACCGCTCACACTGTTTGACATAAGTGTAATTTGGTACACATTATTGTTCCTAACTTTACTATTTACCATTTACTTTATGTGTATATATATGTATTTCTATGTAAGGTGTTTTTTTTTTGAACAATTTGAGTTTATCTCTGTCGCACTTTTACATGAAGTATGTGCTGCTGAGTAATTTATAAAATTGGTTTCTAAACACTGGAAGCAGACGGCAGGAGCAAATAATTGCTCTTAATGAATTTCTCTGTATTACTGTTATAATCAATATAAAACATTGCATTTCAGCCTAAAGCTTGGCATGACATCATTGTAAAGCAAGATTGCTATCAAGAGCAGCATTTATCACAAGGAACATTTCAGTCTCATTTAAAAAGTAAGTTCTTTCCTTTGTATCATCTGCTCTTTTTCACAATGCATTATTCTTCTGGTTTATTATTCACCTTTTCACTGTTCACTCAGTAGTTTCAGATTCTGTTTTTACGTATTTCCTCCTGATATTTTTCAGACCATTGGTACTGTAGTATCATGGATCATTAAATGCATTAAATCCTCTTTGCTCAGAAAATGCAATCCACTCTAAGGAAAAATTGCATTCTTTTTTATTACCTAATAACATTTTAAAAAAACATTTTGCAATAGATGTTTTATCTTACTGGCTACTCCTTCTTTAGATATGCTTTCCTGTTATTTATCTTTACTTTGTTTGAATTATTTCTATTTTTTTATTTTCATATTTTGAAGTGTAAAATCCAAAGTGTAAAATTTGTGAAAACTCACAAATTTTCTCTAAAATTCAAAAGTTTTATAAAGCAAAACTAAAACTCTATAGCACTCCTCTCTTACTAGAAACAGAGATTTACCTTGGATTCCAATGCATCTTAAATGCAATTAAAATTTCTTATTATTCATGAGCACCCAGCAACCTTCTCTAATTTCTTTTCACTATATTTTATCTCCTTTTATGTCTGTTCTTCTTGCTGTTCACATTTTTTTAACCTTAAAACATAGACTAAATAATGCTGCTTATATAGTTTTGCTTGCCTCAGCCTTAGAATGAGGAAAAAACACTTCCTGAATACTGACCCAACTTTATTTATTCGTTAGAGAAAAGTTATCAAGGTGAAGGGTATTATTATATTTAACTAGAATGAAAGATGTGTTATTAGCTCTGCACTAACATTCAAAGATGACTCTGCAGCATACCAGCAGTTCCTCCCAAAACCTTTACTTGGTGGTACTAGGTGTGGTACACAGACTATATGAACAACTCTTCTTAATACACAACGTCTCAAGGGCGGGGACAGTTAGCTGGTAACCAGGAACTCAAGGCACAGAAGGAATACAGACTTGCTAAGGATTTTAAATCAATAGAAGAATAGTAATTGTTGTAAGTTGGTGGCATCTTGACAATAGGAAAAATATTGTATTTCCAGGTTGAAATAGTATTTCATGTGTGCAGATGACAGCTGCTTGTTTGCCATGATTATTGCATGTTTGCCATATCATGCGTGTTTGCCATGATTATTTACTTCTAAAACCATCTGGTTTGGTTTATGATGAAGTGTTGAGGTATGTTCACTCTCACTGTCCATTTTTAAACTGTAACTACCACCTGGAATGTGAGAGTTTACTAGTAGGTACTATATAGTTAAAGTGATAATGATAATGCATCATATAAATAAGTTAATACAGGTGCAGAAGGCTTTGGTACAGTTGAATTGAAAGAGGATGTGATACAGTCAAGTACCTGCAAACCTTTTGTGCATTTTGCTTAGAACAGTAGAAATAAATTATTTCAAAGCCTATAAGTTATTTCAAAGTAAAGGACATGATTCAAATGAAAAGTAATGAGGTGAAAAAAACATTTAACAGCCTCGTATTTAAAATAAATAAACAAACAAAGAAAAAAAAACAACAGGAAAAATAAGTGCAATTAATGAGTGTTCAGATGTTAGGAACTGTCATGTTCAGTAGATAAGCCTGAACTGTGCACAATAAAACAAAAGCATGTAGTGACATATTTTTCTCCCTACATGCTTCAAGTTTGCCCAGAAGGAGTTTCAATGATACACATTTTTTTTCAGTTCCTTTGTTCCCTATACATTTTCAGCACTTGTCAGAGATTTAAATATCGATTCCCTTTCAAAAATTCAGGAATTTTAAAGATATCACAATATATATTAAAATAATGCTTAAGAGTTTTATATATTCTCTTTCAAAAAGGGAATAAATTCAGTGAACTACACAAACAGAAAAAGAAAAAAGTGGAAAATGTCAAGCAAGCATTCTCCTTCATTCAAATATCGTATCAGTGAAATTTGGCTATAGATTAATAAAATCTCAGTCTGTCAATTAATTATTGCTTCTATTTTAAGAAATTATTTCTTTTATTTTAAGAAATAATTTCTTGATATCAGCCTAAAACAGGTTCTATTGTCTGAATGATTGCTTTATTCTTAATCTTTCAGTTATAAAGATGTAGGTCATATAGTGGCTATATAAACTTTTACATCTAGTGAGAAAATCATGCAGTATAAAATCCATTAGAAAGAAATGACTTTATTCAAGACATGAAACTATCCCTTGTTCGTGATTTCTATAAGGCTACTGGGCAGAATACTTAACTCAAATCTCCTCAGGTCAATTTCTTTCTTTAATACTAACCCACAGCTATGAACATGTATTATTACAGAAATGAAGTAATGGAAAATCATCCTGATGTGAAAGCATATTAGAAATCATAAGTGAATAGGCTTGGGGCACTTGAATAACAAAGCAATGCAATACTGAAAGTTGGCAACAATTCAGCTCCTTTAAGGCTTATAGATTACCTGGATTTTGGTTCAGTTCATACTATCTGACTACACAGGTTTCACATGATGTTGCTACTGAGATTTGTCACCAGGTTATGAATTGCAAATATGGTTGTGAATATATAGAATGCCTTATCCAGAATGAGATAAATAGTAGGAATATGAAGAGCTTATTAATTTGTTGGTAATTTTAGTTGTTATGCCAACATCTGTGTAAATCTGTGTGAACTGGTTTAATAACAAATCAAAGCTAATATGTTATTCTTTATAATATGAATCATTTTCAAAAACAAATGTATTTAAAAAAATACTTTTTAAAGTACTCAAAGAACTCTTTAGAATTTTATAAATGGATTTTGAGAACTTCTGTAACTCCTGTCATGTACTGAATACAAAATAATATGAAAATATATCAAGTTTTTATAATACAAATGTACAATTTATTTTAAATTTCATTCTCAGATGATGAATAAAACTGATTTTATTGCAAAATGATGGTGAGACATATGAGAGCAAACTGTTATTTGCCACAGTAATGTGTATAGAAAATCATCTCACAGAGAAAAAGATAAAGTTGGTGAGCAATAGATTAAAAAACAAATCAATTTCTGATCATGTTGTGATTCTTAGTATGTCCTATTAAAGTGGCAATGCTATGCGAAAAACATACCTAAAGATATAAATGAACTGTATCAACATTATTGGCCAATGCTATTATTGTATTTAAGAAATTAATCACCTAACATTTCGTATATTCTTACACAAAAACTAAATGAAAAACATAGTGAGTCATCTTTATTATTATTATTATTAATTATTAATTAATTATTAATATATAATATAATTATATTATTATTATTATAATATAATATAATATAATAATATAATATAATTATTATTAATAATAATTATATTATATTATTATATTATATTATATATAATTATATTATATAATAATATAATAATTATATTATATATTAATAAATAATAATAATAATAATAATAATAATAATAATAATAATAATAATAATAATAATTCATCCAGTTGTTTTGAGACACTTGGAAAATGCAGTATAAAATTAGATATATTCAGAAAACTGTTTAATAAAGTTGATCTTAGAATCCCAAAAAATGACATATTTTTCTTGCCTGGAAATCCTGTTTTCTGAGACTTGTTTAACAAATTCCACCAAATAGGCTACAATGAAGGCACTCATGAAGGTTAAAAATTGTGCAAAACTGCAACTTCTCATAACAGCCTTCCAAACTAAGTCAAAAGCTTTTCATGATATTATTGTCATTGTCATTGGTAAATATTATTAGCTAAAATAAATCATACTGTCTTCTAACAGATTTTACCAAGCTGGGACAGATGAGGTGAATTTTGTGCTCTAATGTCACCTGTAGTCAGGGTCCAAGGACAAAGGCACAAGGCTGTAATGATATATGTAATGATACAACTGGAAGATTGTTAAGAAACACAAAAATGAAACACCAGGCCCTGCTGTCATACTCCTATACAGGGAAAGAGAAACATAAGAGGTGGATATAGGTTACTGTTGAAGATGCCATGCAAAATCATCCTTCCATTCCTTCATATGGCACCCTCAGATATAGTGCTCCCCTTGCTTCACAAATCCCTTACATATAAAGGATCTAATACTGAACTATTAAAATCAGTGGGTGCTTTGACTTCCACTTCAGTGGGAGCAGGACCAAGTTAAAAATGATTACTGAAGTCATGCAGTGAGCCTCTGAAAGCAGTCAGAGCTGATCTCAAAAACAAATCAATTGCTGGGGAGAAAAGATGAGTTAATATGCACAGCGGAGTCCAGCTGAGGATTTACCAGCTGGAAGGAAAAAAGCATCATGGGCAGAAACACAGCATATTGCTATTCCTATAACATTTTGGGGTATGAAATGGTCTTAAGATAATTATGGAAACAAAGTCTCTTCTATAAGCTACAGAAATAGAGGCTGATAGAAGAGACCACAGATATTAAAAATTCTGATTGTAGTGTGGGGAACAAGAACTGGCAGCTGTGACTACAGCTATGTGAATAGTTCATTTTCAGACAAGTTCTAGGCAATTTCCAGATTCCTATTTCTCATGATTCAGCTGGCAATGGCAAAAAAAAAATAAAAAAAATTACTCCTCTGCTTGACTTTTGCAGCGGAATAGCTACTCCAATTGCTGTTGTTTTTGTGAAATAGTTACTGAAATTGCTTTTGTTTTTAAGCAACATAACCTTGAACCTGGAAAAATTATAGTGGAAAACTATTATAACACTGCGTCCAGTGCTATGTGACTGTTGGTGGGAATAAGTTCCTTTGCTACTGGGAAGTGGAGAGCCAGCAATGTTTTCTGTTGAAATTTTTATATTTCTGGAACATGCCTGAAAAACAAACTATTTTTGAAATCCTACTGGAGAACCAAAACTACTTATTATAATTCTTGAGACTATTGCAGGCCAGAAGGCAGGCCAGTTTTGCCTATGTCTTGAATTGGACTTCATATATCATGATTTAAGAAAAAAAAAACAACAAATAAACAGAAAAAAAAAATGATAACAATAGAATTAATCTATCAGAGAGTTACTTTATATAATCTCCATATTTGTGTGCTTCGTGTAATTTGGAAGAACATATATATGCATTAAATATAAGGTAATTTTTGCACTACCCAAAATTTGGTTCTGACCTGTATGAAATTTAGTTTTATTCTACTATATTATTTTTCACTTTTACCACGAAGATTTTGTAAAGTTGGAATCCTTACAATAGCTTTTTCTGCATTCATTGTAATATGTTATCTTGTTAAAGAGCTATTGAAGTGCCTATAAAGCAGACATTGTAATACTTTACACTATTCTCTTGATTATCATGTCACTGTGGCATCAAATTGCATTGTACCAGGTTTATTTTTAAATGGGTTGTGTGTTCCCTAATTTTTATTATTGTACACGTTTCTAGAGCTTTTGTTCAACATGTTAGAATTGAATATATTAATCATTTGATGATTTGATTTGATTTTGCGGCTAATTTCTACTCCTGGCTATGTGATCTAAATCCAGAATAGTGTCATGTGCTACTTTCTGACCAAAAAATAGCACACCAATATTTTTCCTATAATGTTCATAGTACTGGCATAACAGCTCTTATATATTAATATAATTGAAAGTGTTCCCAGCCAAACAATGCCCTCATTTAAGTGCAGGAGAACTAAGAAAGCTCTTTAATGATCCTGATGGTCCTGTGCAGCTTTTAGAACATTAAGAACATCCTTGAAATATTGGAGAAGCTCAGGAAAATCCTGGCTTTGTGCCTCTGCCTCACAAAACATCGCGTTTGTGAATGTGGCACTGAGTGTCTTGGCTTATAATATCAAGACTTTGTTCCCACAAAGATTGCTTTAAAGGAATAAGCACTTGTGCTTCATCCTCCAATGCATATTTACTGTAGTTAGAGTATTTCTTAATTTTATGCTTATGTCTTGATTGGTCTAGAAGCATGATATTTTTGTAAACATTGTAATGATCAGATACTAATATTCACTTAGATCTGCAAAAACAAACTGTATGAGAAAGAACACAAAATACTTATAATGAGAAAAAAAAATGTTTTACCAGAAGTCTGTATAACTGAGCTGGCATGGGAAAGGAGAAAGGTGGTTTTTAACCATATTTATTTATTCTCCAGGACTCAAAGCAACTGAAGTATCTAAGCTAATTTACACAAGTCTCCAAGAATGGAAAACAAGCCTCCGGCATAGGCTGTAATCTGCTTCTAAAGTAAGTACCACGTCAGTTTGAGATTTGGCAGTGTAATGTGTGCGAATGTATTTGTGGAATCTATACACTGTTGCAATAATCAGGGAAATTAGTATAAGCTGGAACTACTAAATACATTGAGAGACCACATTGCATTGTTGCCCACCTGTAAGTGACAATGGCAGGGCATGGGAACATGCTCAGTAAGAATCCAGAAAGATGAAGAGGAAGAAATGTCATACAAAGACTACACAATGATGGAAAAAAAAAATAAAACACCTTTCACAAGGAACACCATCACATTTCCTTGCATACTTTCAGATTCGTCTCCCTTTAGGACCAGCTGGTTTGGCACTGTGTGAGCAGTATTGTTCCTAAACACAAAATATGTTGAAGGTGCATGCAAAATGGTGTAAAATTTTGATAGCTGATTTTTTTTTCTATGTACTTTTTTTTTTCTCTATTACAAACAAACCAACCAACAGTCCTGCTACTAAAGTTCAAATTAGTCACCATTTTCAGTCCCTCCTGAAAAATCAGCCTTTCTTTAGTTTACTGCTTTGCTATTGCAAATGACTCACAAATTCTGAAATTTCATTTAAATGGGGGAGGAATTACAGTGATATTTTGCATCCTAGGTAAGATAAAAACTGCTACAGTAAATTAAAGGATACCTCTTTTGCCATCTGCACAGTCTGACACTTCGGTGCAGCCTGATGCTTCAGAAAACTAATTTTTCTGCAGTGAAGTGTGTAAACAGTTGAGTTGAATTCTGTTCAATGTCTGAACTTCTATTCCATGTGATGTTATTTCTGTATCAGATTATCTATGTCCTTTTTAGATTGTGTAAATCAGTTCATCAAAATGGACAATGGAAAGACATTTCATCCAAAGGGTATTTGGTATGCAACAATAATCTTATACAGACTAAATGCTGCATAATTCAAATTACATGTTTGGTCACAGGATGTTTCAAATTCAGATGAACAGAATGCAATGTACTCGTGGTGCTAAACAAGTGACAGACATTATAGACATTGCTTGAATTGTTAGGGAGAAGTATGTGAGATAGAGAAGTGGAAAAACTGTTGATATACATTAATCCTTAGCAGAGGGACTGCTAAGTTTTCCCTAATGATGACATAATGACAGTCTCCTCCAAAGTCTAGCTAAAAAAGGTGGGATGCAGGGTAAGAATAGTGTCATTAAAGCTATCAATTGGCTTATGTTCTTTCAGTGAGGACAGTACAAATATGTGCTTTGATACTGGCAGATCGCACGTGCTTGTCTCTGTGCAAAAGCACTATCTTGTGTGGAAACAGACTGAGAGCTTTTAAAAGAAAAACAGCATTGTATATTGTTTCTCATAACTTCACACTTTGAATGTAAATTTTATTCTACCCGTAGCAATATTTTCAGATATCACCAGGGAAGTGTACTGTCTGTCCTACAGGAACAATTCTTACTTTTTGAAACAAACAAACAAAAAACAAACAAAAAACACAAAAAAGTGAAAAGGTAGGGGGGAAATAATTAACCGAATGGTTGACTTCAGCTAGTATGAGGAAGTTTTAGGAAAAGCCTAAACAAACAGTTTATATGTGAACACAAACAGTTTTTTTCCTTTTTTTTTTTTTTTTTCCCATCCGACAAAGGTCTTGGAAGAAAAAAATGAAAAAGGCGTGTTCAGGAACTTGTGCTTCTATAGAATGAGCTGGCTGGCTGAGATTTGGGCACACTGAATTCTTTAGGGGCTGGAATAGAAATCAGTGCTTCTATCTTTGATACGTTTCTCATGTTAATTTTACCAAAAAAATCCCCAAAGGAACAAATAGAAAAGATAGTTCCACTAACTTCCCTTCCACGTATTCTCTAGCCAGTATTTATTGTACACATTTTTGCTCTTTGACTTCCTTTTTTTTTTTTTTTTTCCCTTTTTCTCATCTCCACCGAGCACCTCCAAGAGACAGCCCTCTATCTACCCATGTCTTGTTTGAAGTGAAGATTGCTAAAGTTTCCATTATCTACCTCAATTCTGAGTTGAACTGTTTGTTATAACTATTCTGAAAATAATGCTGCGGGCCATTAAATTAATGCATCTGTTCAAAAATGGCCTTTGCATAATCTTTAGGTGTATTTCTCCCCTGTTAATCTATATTAGCCATGGCTATATTATTACTAAAAACAGCATTAGCTTATACCTCTTTTCAATCCACTGATCTTGAGGCATAGCTATTGATGCACTTGCTATTTATGTTAGAAAATTACATTTTTTCCGTAGTGTTCTTATTCCATTTAATTCAAGCTTTCTCTAGAAAGCTTCTGATGTGTAAGACCAATTGCTTCTGCTCCAAGGCCACTTACAATGGTTTGAGGGGCCTCCAGGTCATCATGCACAGAATGCTGCAAATCCTCACTTTTTTAGGAATCAGAAATTTGAAATACTTGCCAAATAAAAGAAATCTCAGAACCATGTTGAGCCTTTAAGATTAGACATCCTATTTTCATCATGTTAAGACAGAAGATATGAGCAGAAAAATAGTTCAGAAGTAACAGTTGCTTGCATTAACACACAGTATAGGTTTTCTCCTTGAAATGTGGATTTCAGTCTTGGGAGCCTATTGGGTACTTAACTTTTTGTGATCACAAGTTACTGGCAAATCTTTCTGTCTGTGTCTAATATTGATAGTTTGACATTAAGATAGTTTCATAGTAAGATAGTTTGTTGTATACTTACATTTTACATTTGCAGGGGAACGAAATTTCTGAAATGGAGATAAGGCGGTAAGGAGTGATGGCAGTATCTATACAGCCACATGGTGCAGCAATCAGGGTGCACATTACTTACTTGGTATAGCACTAAAAAACAATGTTTTTTTTTCCTGAGGTATACGTGTACCTTTCAATGTCTAGGAGGTTGTGATTACTTTACTGTGGCATTTGAAGTGAAAGCCACAATGAGGTGGTTCAAGTAAATTTTATTAATCTCTTTTACCTGAGAGGAGATGAAGTATTTCTCTGAAGTTCTCTACTGATTTTTCACTGTAATACTTCAAGTTAATCAGAAGCTAATGGAAAAGAACCCTACATTTGACTGATAAATAATGTGCTACTTCACTACTAGAAGATTATCAAAGTTTGTCCTTGCGCTGAAAATTGACTCTTGGAGTATATTTGAATCAGGACTTCAAAAAGAGTTGTCAGACAATAATCAAGGTAGTTGCAACAGAGGTCTTTCTAAATGATGGGTGTTCTGGAGGTCACCTTGTTTAGTATCAGGTTTTATGTGTGTATATATATATATTTTTGGACTAAACAAGACAAACTATTTCTTTGAGACTTTTCCTGAACATACCAGGGGAAAACAATTGTTTTTTGATGAATCACAATCTCTTGGTTTGGTGTTTTACAGGAATTATATATAGAAAAGAATTGTAGGGAACTCCATGAAATTATTGTGACAGATGAAATCAAAATAGCAATAGTTTTGAAAAATATATTTTTGCAAAATGTTTAATTTCACAGTTATATGAACATACTGAGTGAAACAGTTTCATAACTTTTAATGTATAATCAATGAACTGTTTTAATTTGACACATTTGACACCTTCATTCTTGTTTACAGAGAGATTACTTCTAATTACAGACAGTCTAATTAAATAGCCTAATTAGCATTAGGGTTTTGTCAAAGATTAGTATTGGTCTTGCACAGTTTTCTACTGTGTGTGTATTGTTGCCAAGTCAAAGATGACTCTTTTTTCTTTCATCATCCTAAGGTTACAAGTAAAAACACTGGAAAGTTATAAGCAAATAGAGGGAGGAAAATGCACTGGTTTTTGCCTCTCAGTTACTCAGGTTCCAGTAGTGTATTACATTGCAGCCTGAGAGAGATTTCTGAAGAAAAGTTTTTTCCTTTACAAATGTGTCTTTCCCACTCCTATCCCTCATGAAGGGAGGAACTGCTTCAGGCTCCTAGGATAAGGCACCTAACCAGTGAGATAACACATTTCCATCTGAACTTCAAAGAATTTTGGATGAGTTGTTCATCTCTGTGGATCTGAGAATCCTATGAGGCTGACATAATGCTGATAAGAAGCTCAATGTTCCCCTTCTCCTTGGGATATGGGGAGAAACTGAACCCTGAGATGAGAAGAGCTGCTGCCTCGATGTTCTCAGGCAGCAGCAAGGGGAAGCAGCTCTCCTGGTTGTGGGTCTGTGCCTGGTCAGAGCCCTGGGGCCCGGGATTGTTGTGCAAGCTCCCATGTTCTGCACCAGGAACACAACTACACATTTAGATGTTTACATGTAAATTACCCCACCTCCAGCCTGGAGGTTTGATGCTAAACCTTAAGCTTTGTTTCCAAGTCTTTGCAACCATATTTCTCATCAGTACTGGAAAAGGAATAAGGTAATGATCTACTTAAACGATGCTGCTCCTGATAGTAGTTGGCTATTTTATATCCTGATTTGTAAAATGGCAAAGAGCATCGTGTTATTTCTCATAACAAAAAGTTGCCTTAAGCATGTTCAGCTGGTTTGCTTAACATTATCTACCACCCAGAGTTTGAACTGAGTGGTAACTTTGCTAATGTTTACACCTTAATATGCATTTGCTTTGGTACAGGGGAAAAGAAAAGTGCAGAGTACTTATCCTGCTTTATATTTAAACACAGAATGAAGTCTTTTTGTTTAAGCATAAAGTACAAATGTTTACCTTGGAGCCTTGTATAATTTTAATTAAAACACAAAGTCATGCCTTTGAACCTCTGTTGTGAGTTCTATCTACCTCTGAGTAATATTAAATGAAATCTCAAAATTACAATTTCTGTGAACAGTAGTTTGTTTTGCTCTACTGCTAATCTTAATAAACACACTGCAGGTTAGTCCCATTTATACTTTTCTGTCTGATCTTCTTAAAACTCATTCTGTGATCAGTTTTGGTCATGTTTCAGCACCTAGCTAATTCTGATTAGCATTACAATCCAGTACAATAAAAGCAGTTTAATCAGAAATTGCAAATGA